ATTTAAAAACTAACTACTAAAAGAACTCAATTTAGAATTTACACAAAATCAACAATGATAACAATAACATTACATAAAATATTACAATACATAAAATAGTAATGCGTAAAATATCAACATCGAATTTTTCCACTCTTTACATTATATAAACTCTTATATTGACCGATTCTTTAATAGTTAAATCCTAAATTTGTCACATGTACACACTAATCAAATCCTTCCTTTTCATAACATCAATATCTATTTCTAAAGAACATCCGAGCTAATATATTGAAAAATTAATAATTATGCATGTCATACATTTGTTCTTTTATTTTAATTATTTTTAATCAACGCATGTATTAGAAAGTTATAGAAAGAACGTTACAATTATAATTCAATTTGTCTGTATAATAATTTACAATACAATCCTAAGAGATAAGTGTTGCTTTTATAATTAAAATTGTTTTAATTCTTAATAAAAAGAGTAAAAGTTTTTAAAAAAAAGCCCGCGGGGAAAACCCACCCCGCCTCGGCCTGCTTTTTTAAGCGGGTAAGGCAAGGCAGGCTAACTTAAGGTACTGAGCCGAAAACCCCAGTCCAACCCGCCAAAAATGACGGATCAAATGGGCCAATCCGGCGGGCCCAACCCGTTTTTCCACCTCTAAGTACTACCATTCTAGAAATTTGAAGAAAGAGGAAGAAAATTAAACTCAAAAAATAAAATCAATACAAAAAAATAAAAGTATTAGAATGAAAGCATGTGTATTGCAGTTTCTAAAACTATGATGCTCCAAATTATTGTAAGATATGTATATTTTATTCTTCCTTCTAAAATTGTTGTTTGTAGGAGCTAGGGCTGATTACATTCATTCAAATTGCAAAACCTACAAAATAAAAATTACGAATTATATTAAAAAAATATGAATATGATCAAAATAATATTTATGAAATAAATTAGAATATGATCAAAATAATAAAATTAAAATTTATACAAAAAAATATGGACATGAAATTGATTTGAATTGAATAGATGTAAGGAAAAATATGAAACCTTATCGAATTTGATAAAAATAGAAAAATCAATTCTCTTTTTGAATCGGTGTTGAATAATTCACTCATTCATCTCATGCTTTGTCAAGTTCTAATATATTCATGTGAAAAGAGAGAAATTTATCTATTTAAGAAAGAAAGTGGGACAAATTGACCATTTAAGAATAATAAAATGATATTATATTATGTTTTCAATACTAACCATTGTTAGTCATTTTTGATAATTTTGATAAGGTATTTATTTGAAAAATGATCGTGCGATAAAATGATCAAATAGTGATATTGTGAAGAAATGATTAAATAGGTATTTATAAAGAATAATAAAAATATTAATATAAATATGAATGTGTGTGTGTGGTGTGTGTGCGTGTGTGCGTGTGTGCGCGTGCGTGTGTGTGTGAGTTACAAAATATTTATGAATATATATATATATATGAATTGACTAATGAGCGGGTAAAGAATTTGAAACAAATATATATAGAGATATGAATGAGTTTGGTTTAAAACAAACTAGTAAGAAACTTGTGCTATCGCACGGGTCCTGTCTGGATTCACATAAACGTTTATCAAATCATCATTTATAAATTTAAAAAAAATTATTTAGTTAGTTGACCTTCACATAGTTACAACTTATAATCATTGATATGTACTTATAATAAATCGTACATCAGATTTTCTAACTTCAATCACATAAAACAGAAGCAAAATAAAGATTTAAAAGATGGACATTAAAATGAACAGTCTACAGTTGATATCTCATAGATACGTTCACTACCCGTGGATCCAAAAATTAAAATTGTTATATTATCTAAAACTCAGAAATCAAAATCAAAATTAATTAAATTAAAAACATTTTCTAATGATTTGTTTGGGGTTTTGAATGGAAGACTTTGAAAAAAGAGAAAAATTGAGTGAAAAAAATATAAGGATCTAGGTGGGGAGGGTTTTTCTTTAATTCAAAGCACAAAATTCACCTACTTTGGAGAACTAAAAATTTGTATTGAATGAGTTTTATAGAGTTTTGAAGGGTTTACATAAATTTTCTAAATAATTGTTATATTTTTATAGTATTATGAAAATTTTAAATATATAAATGATAAACACTCTTTTATCAATTTAAGCAAAACCATTCATTAAAAAATTTGTCAAATATTTTTCTATATTTTTAAAAAAAATTGTTTTTAGAAGCCTTTTCCTCTCCTCATCTCCAAACTCTCTAACAAAGCCTACTTAAATTATTATTAAAGTAAAATCGAATATAATTTGATACCCTTAAACCTATCATCCATAATAGTATAACAAAAAAAAGAAAAATATTAAACTTTGAAAGACGGACTTAATAGAATAAGTCAATTCATTTTAACCGATTAAACCAAGTAAATTTGTTGTTGAAATACTTTGACAATTGATATTAATTCATGGAATATTTATTTTAGCCATGTCCTATCTTGTTATAGCTTGATTATATTTATGGAACACCTTCATTCTTATTTTACATCAACTACTGATGTAAAATTAAGATGAAACAAAATTGAAATGCCTATTAATACTAACTTGTTTTTGCCCATCACTTTGTACCATTTCCAAAATCTCATTTATTAGTTCTTTTGATAAAAATTTGAATTATACTAATAGTGCATGCAAATTATAAGAAACACTTATGGCACGTATGTTTCAAATTATGGTACATTCCCAAGTCATGTATATCCGAAAGTGAAAAATTTTAATCAGTATTTTGCGCCTACCATTTAAAACAATATACTGATGGTGCTGATATGAATTCATGATGTATTGTCTTTACAGTTTACATGTTACATGTCAAATGAAAATCTGCAATAGGTCTGAATTATATGACTGTCTTGTGATTCCTTAAAATTTATGTTGTCAATTTTAAGTCCGATTTCCCTCAAACAACACTCCTGTTGCTGATTATATTTTGACTGATAGTGCTTATATTTAATCATTATTGCATTAAGGTGTCTTATATGATGCATAATTAATTTTATCATAACTATTGTTGGGATTTCCGGGTTCCATTCATTGGACTTGTTATGGGTGACAGGGGATTGATTTCACGTGTACTTTGTGCAAAATTTGATGAGCATCTCACTTTTGGTACGCTCGAGTCAAGGGTAGTTTCAGCTCATGGTCGACCTACACTTAAAGATCTGTTGCATCTATACAATTTCAAACAACTAAGACCTTAGAGAAAAGTATATGGGATTATTGGGAAGTCTGTCAGTCACAGTAAATCACCTAAATTGTTTAATGAAGCCTTCAAGATGGTTAGTTATGATGGCTTGCAAATTGAGAATCATGTACAACCATTCTTGACCAAATATCTCATGACAGTAGAAAACAAAGTTATAACTCTAAACAAATCTATAATTTACGTAAATTTGGTTAGAATTGATAAATCCCTCTAAATTTTGTTTTGAGGCTTCCGAATCATCTTCAAACTTGACATGTGAACATATCTCTTGATCGACAGCTTTATTTCCACGACTATGGCCACGACCCCTGCCTCTCCCCCTACCTTTTCCTCTTTCACTCGTATGTGCATGTCCTGGCTGTATATCATGAAAAAAACCTCATTATTCAATTAATATTTAACATTGACCAGTAGCCATACATGTAATAAATTATAGAAAAGGCATTTGCACTCACAAGCCATTTTGTGAAATTACATAATCACTTTAATGAACATCTTTTGTTATTGGCATTATCAAAACAGTGTTGTCAAATAGTGACTATAGAGGTAAAGAATAGCAGAATATCAACAAACTGATATTGTTCTGGGTTAAACGATTTAGTACAATTGTGTTGTCAAATAGAAGACACAACAATGCTATAGCTAGCACTTTAGTGTAGTGGATTTTGAACAAAATGCTATTTTCCTCAATCTGCAATTGACAACACTGCATAAGATACATATATGCAAGGTCATGTGCATGGACATTACTAATCAAAAGGTTTGAAAAAGATAACTTATATTACCATTTTATTTGTCTTGGTCTCTTTGTCGCTGTCATTATCATCATCTTCAGCAACTTTCCTAAAACACAACAAAAACGATCAACATACAAAACTCGACCAAAAAATAAGAGGAGCAATGAAACACAAACCTCCTCTTAGTGACAGTTTAGTCGTCGCCAGTTACAACAAAACCTCCTAAATCAGGAACCTTGCTCACAATAACATTCGGAAAATCAAATACATTAAAAGTTTGTACGCATTATTTTCTGCAAATCAAGAAGTTGTGTGAATCAGCTTTTTAGAACCAAGAAAGAAGACAGAAACACTAAAATAAATCATGGCCAAAAGCAAGACAAATACACTAATAGAAGTTTCGTTCCACTTGCAAATGAAAAGCATTCATTCTTTTATCCCCTCCTAAATGTTACATCATATGTCTTGTCACGCAAATCTTGAAAAAATACATAACAACACTATGATTACAGAGAGACAATTATATTGCAGAAGATGCTGCAACAAATGAACATGGTAGGCACGATACCGATATATCATCACATGAATTAATGAGCTTCTGTAAATTTGAGATGAGTTGTCATGTGAAACATTCTCATTGAAAGTGAAATATCAAAAGCAAAACAAAATTAATACCCTTGTGGGGTTAGAACTGCGTAGATCCTCGAGACTGTTGTCATGACCGAAATACTTGAAATAAGATATGCAAGAGTGGAGAAGCATCATTTTTCAAAACTTCTTTTTAGACCTTATATCTTTATCAAGAGAGTGACAATGTTCGAAGAGTCGAAAAATACCAGTTTCAAGGAAACACTTTCTCAGAAGTGATAAACTATAAATATCCTAGACTGAAATAAATTGTGTTTCAGGAAACCATATTGCATCCTCAGGTAAAAGTATTTGTTCACTACCCAAGTATCCACTAGAGGTTTATGTGGGAACCATCGATCCAGCTCCACCGCTAGCCTTCTCCTCATTGTTTAATAATCAAAATCTGTATTTTGGAGGTCTGCTTCTGACTCACCATCCTATATTTTCTCAAAATGAAACAAATAGAACAATTAGAGAAGGTTCCCATGTAATTGTTCAGCCAGTATAAAATATCTTTTATTCATACTTGTCCTGCAACAGCATAAACAATAGCAATGATGCAGGGCAGACAACAACAGAGAGCAATGTCAATCAAGCATGCCAAAACAACACAGAAGATGGCAAAGAAGACATCAAATGCTATAAAGATAACACCCACTCGATTGAATATCGGGGAACCGATTTCAACTATCCGATCATGATACATGATGAGGAGAGCAAGAACTCTGCAAGGTATGCGAGACAATAATAAGTTTTGTAGTATCCATAAGACGTGGTTATCTAGCCAATCACACTCATGTCTTACTCAACTCCCAAACTAACTAAAACAATTTCCTACAATGCCATGAATGTTATAAAATGAAAAAAAAGAGAAATTAAAACAACTCAAGATTACATATACAACGTAAAAGTGAGTTGATGTATGTTGAGTTAACAAACCTCAATAATATCACGCCATTCCTCTCCCGACAACTGAAAAAGAAAAAAACAAATAACCACTCAGATATTAGTGTGTAAATGAGCTACAAATTCAGTAAAAACACATATAAACCTTCAAATAAAAAAAGTAAAACTCCGAACATATAAAAACGACAAAATTCACAAAGAAATCTAACATCAAATTAAACAAAGTCATAAAAATGCAGGAGATGAATTTCAAATATCAGTAAAATGTTTAGTGCAAACCATACATCGGCCAACATGTCCTGCACGAATGATATCCCTCACGCCCACCCGTCTGCTCTGCGAAAGTGGTGCAGCGAGCATCCGTCATCTGGATTGCCAGTGGAAAAGCTAACAGTCAGTAGATAATAATTACAAAACTTAATATATAACATAAAATTGTTGGGGTTGAAAAAAGTGACATGCATGTGTTGTCGCTCATCATGTTCATTCTTGGATGTTTCATCGGCAATCAGACCCACCTGAAGTTCAAATATTCAGTAAATAGCACATAATCAACAACAAGATTATTCTTCCCGTTATAGAGATTTACTTGATTCAAATCTCACCTTTGTCAATTCCTATATTTATATATAAAAATAAAGAAAACTGCTTTATAAGATGTAATCTGGTACTGATATTAGCAAATGATTTTTTTTATTAAAGATTTCAACCATATTGCTTATACAATTTCATAAAGAAATATATATATATATATATATATATATATATATATATATATATATATATATATATATATATATATATATATATATATATATATATATATATATATATATATATATATATATATATATATATATATATATATATATATATATATATATATATATATAATAACATTTATAATTATTATTATTATTATTATTATTATTATTATTATTATTATTATTATTATTATTATTATTATTATTATTATTATTATTATTATTATTATTATTATTATTATTATTATTATTATTATTATTATTATTACTTATTATCATTATCATCGTTATTATTATTATTATTATTATTTTAGGAGACAGAGGATGAAAGGATGAGGATGCTCATGAGAGACAGAGATCTGGGTGCTAACTTTAACTAGATTAAGTAATAAACTCTTAGGAAACATAGTAAAATAGTAGATCAATTAATCAGGACTGACGTGGACACTCTATTCTAAACAAAGAAAATATTACATTAAAAAAAATGTTTAATTGTAATTTTGAAATTTTTATTTAATTTTTTTTTTATTTTCTTATTTTAAAAATCATTATTTTAGTTTTTTTTTAAGATTTCTTGTGAATTTTGTCTTTTCATTTAAAAATTATAAATTTTGGTTTATTTTTTAAGTTTTAAATTGTAATTTAGTCTCTTTTTTAATTTTGTTGATGATGAAAAAGAGATTAAAATTTAAAATAAAATTTAAAAAGATGACTAAAATTATAAAATTAAATTTAAACAAGAGACTAAAATCATGATTTTTATAATGAGGAGACGGAAATCAAAATAAAACTTAAAAAGAATTAAAATAGTGGGTTTCAAAAATAGAGGAATCAAAATTAAGAAAAAAGATTAAATAAGAAGGTCAAAGTTACAATTAAACTTATTATATAAAAAAAGTCACTTGTTTTAATTTCCAGTTTATTAAATACAAATATTTTTAAATAAAAACATTTCTTTTTTAATTTTTAAACCAGTACTCCCGAGACATTTGTTAGCATTTTCTTAGTTTATATTATATAATAGTTATAATAATAGTACATATTATTATAATCTGTCCCCCACTGTGTAACAAACATATAAAAGAAAAATCCAAAGTTGATTATAATTGTTTAAAATAATTAATTTTAAAAAATAAAAATAAAGTGCCTTGAAGCATTTTTGTTCAATGCTTATCTCATTGCTTCAGAAAAAGGGTGCTCGTGCTTCTCACATGATATATTATAGTAGTAATTAATTGATGATAATTAGTTGGTGGCGCAGAAGCTGCGCGTCGTTGGTGTGTCAAATTGTATATAAAATACATTAGTGTGGATCGCATGCAAGCCAACCTATATATTTAATTATTATGCGCCTTTTATTTTGACCTATAAGCTCATCAAAATTTCATTGTTGTAAAAAAAAACGTGTAATAAACCGAGTGGTCAAAAAAAACAATTGCCAATTTATAGAATGGTGTTAAGTTTAGATTAAGAAATAATTTCAAGATTAAACTTTCATGAGATGGTTGAGTTTAGATTAAGTAAAACAATGATAGAATGTAAATATTTTAAGATTAAACTTTCAATTTAGTAAATATTTTGTCAATGAGATTAAAGACTAATGAAATGATATTTTATATAAGTACAATGATAATTATTATCTTTTCATGTCACCCCCATTTTAGATGATCATTTTGAAATTAATATTGTGAAATGAATGTATGTTGAGATATTTGGTATAGTTGAAGTTGATTTGGTAGTCTATTTAATGTATTTTCTCTATCTTAAATTATAAGAAAATTTATTTTTTCAGATTCATTGAATAATTAATGTATTTGATATATATATATAGATTAGATATATTAATTATTTAATTAATCTAAAAAATAAATTTCTATTATAATTTGGGACTGAGGGGAGTACAAGTTAATTGTATATAAATAGACTAGTTTATAAATCAGTTTGTAACAAATTCAATTCGATAATACAATTCTTATTCTCTCTCTTTCTCTTCTCACTAAAAGTGTCTCACGCACTAACAAATTAGTATCTAGAGCTCCAGTTAAATTCTTGATCGTGTTTTTAGATTCACACGTTAGAGATAGTGTTTTCGAGATCGTGGATTGTTGATAATCAATCGTTGTGAAGATGAATGATATTAATGGCATTCTAAATTCTCTTCCAATTCTTGACGACAAGAATCAGATTCAATGGAGAAAACATATGCAATCTCTGTTTTGGCTTCATGAAATCCTATAAGTGGTTACTAATGGCGTTCCCGCGTTGGCTACAAATGCAGTCGACGCACAGAGAACTCCTCACAACGAAGCCAAGAAGAAGGATTGCAAGGCTGCGTATTACATTCAAACGGTGGTAGATTCGGTGAACTTCGATAAAATTTCTCATGTTGACTCGGCATATGAGGCATGAGATATTCTTGTTAAGTATTATGAAGGAGGTGAGAAAGTCAAGGTTGTCAAGTTGCAAATCTTGCAACGACAATATGAATTGTACGTCGATGGGAGAATATGAAAAGATTGCAGGTTATGTATCGAAGGTGCAAAAACGTATCCATCTCATAAAGGATTGTGGTAAAACCCTAATTGATAATATGATAGTTGATAAGGTAATGTGTATGTTGACCTTTCACTTTGATCATGTTATCGTAGCTATTCAAGAATCCAACAATCTTGAAACCCTAAAATTAGAAGATCTGGTTAGTTCGTTGGAGGTGCGTGAGATTAGGATTGTCGAGGAAAAAATGAGGTTCAAGACTCGATACAAGCACTGCAGGCTCAGTCTTGGAAAAATAATGGTGATTCCAACAAATTCAAAGGCAAAATCGACATGACACGGAGCAAAAAGTCTTTGTCGAATCCTCACAAGAATAAAGTCGATGATTGGGTTTCTGAATCCTCGAAAAGAGGAAAAGGAGATTCTTATCAGAAAGACAAAAAAGAGAAGAAAAAAAGTGTGTAGTGCTATAACTTTGCAAAGTGGGGTCACTCAACCAAGCATTATTGGTACATGAAATATAAGGGATCGATAAAAGGCAATGACATGCGGATTTTGCACGTCAAGATTCAGATGAGTCTGATGATATGGTGGTTATGGTTGTAATCGCATATAACCATGTCGAATCCAAGATTTGGTTCCTCGACTCTGGTTGTTCAAATCACATGAATGGTCGAAAGGAGCTGTGGTTAGTAAATTTCGACGAGTCGAAGAAGAGCAAAGTTAAGCTTGCTGATAATAGTTCATTGCAAATAGAAGGTATTGGTGACATTGTTATTCAAATGAGCAATGAAGCTAAAACTTTGATCAAAGATGTACTTTATGTACCTGGCATGAAGTGCAATCTACTATGTGTTGGACAACTAGTCGAAAAAGTTTTCTCAGTCATCATGAAAGATGGAGCTTTAGAATTGTTCGACGCCCATAACAATTTGGTCTTAAAATCTTTGTTATCAGGGAATTGGATGTTTTAAGACTCGAATCAGTTCGACAGAGGTACGATGCTTGAAAATAGTTGTCAACCACAAGGATATTTGGTTTGTGGAATTTGAGGTTTGGCCATCTGAATTTAAGGTCACTCAATCAGCTGATTACTCAAGAGATGGAAAATGGAATACCAAGTCTTGTGATGCCTGACAAACTCTGTAAAGGTTGTTTAGTTGGAAAGCAATCCAGAAATTCTTATGTTTCAACTATGCCAATGAGATTCTCCTGTATACTCGAAGTTGTACATTCAGATGTATATGGCTTTTTTGAGGAGCATACCATTGATGGAAATAAATATTTTGTTTTGTTTGTCGGTTAGTATAGTTGAAAACTCTGGATCTATTTGATCAAGCGAAGAAATTGATGAAGTCGAAGTTGATGAAATTGCAAATATTTTGGTTGAACTCGAAACAGTTGTTGTCATTCCTGACACAGTCAAAGTCAAAGAGGGTATATCCAGCACAAGTCAAAGACCTCAAAGAACTAGAGTTTTTCCAACAAGACTTCAAGACTATGAAGTGACTGGTGATGGGTGAAGTAACACCGGATGGAGAAATTAGTTCATTTTGATTTACTTATAGGTGTTGAACCAATCAACTATAGCGAGGCTTTAAAGAATAAACAATTGAAGTCAACTATGGTCTAAGTACAGACAATTGAAAGAAACAACACATGGGAGTTAGTCATATTGCCAACACACACAAAAGTTATCGAAGTAAAGTGAGTGTTCAAGTTGAAACACAATGTTGATGAGTTGATAGCAAGAAGTAAGGAGATATTGGTAGCTCGAGGATTTTTTTAGATAGCATGACTCGACTACTCTGAAGTACTATGTAACACTCGAGGCCGAAAAGGGCAAGGAGAGGTTGCACCGCATGTAACACTCGAGGCCTAAGAGGGCAAAGGTGGTTGCCACGTCGGAATGAGAGGGATCCCGAGACTATGCATGTGTGAGACTGCATGGTTTAAGGAAGGCTTATAAGGATTAATTGGTACTCCCTAATACCAACAAGATGCATATTCTTTTCAGTAGCTCATTCCATAAGAACTCCATAGTTAAACGTGCTTGACTTGGAGCAATTCTGGGATGGGTGACCTTTTGGTAAGTTTTTCCGAAAAGCGTGTGAGTGAAGACAAATCATGTTAAAAAGACTTATGTTGGTTTGTGGGGTCAGTCGATAATCATGAAAGTAGTCTAGGGTGTTTACAACTGGTATCAGAGCCATACTTCTCCTTGTACGATGTGGTTTGAGGATGAACCATACGGAAGCTGGTGGGAATGTAACACTCTAGGCCGAAAAAGGGCGAGGAGAGGTTGCATCACATGTAACACCCGAGGCCTAAGAGGGAAAAGGTGGTTGCCACATCGAAATGAGAGGATCCTGAGGCTATGCATGTAAGGGACTGCATGGTTGAAGGAAGGCTTATAAGAAATAATTGGTACTTACCTAATACCTAATAAGATACAT